GTTAAAATAATAAATACCTTGACCTAAAATCATGCAACCATGTTTATTTTACATCCACTTTGCCACAAATGTTACATACACTCTTTAACCCACCACAGCCTTCTAGGTGCTACCCCAAGTGCTTGCCCTTGCCTCTTTCTCCAAACTCCATGGTAGAGTACCGGAGGACAGTCTTTATAAATCTCTGTGCTTGCCATGGTTTTCAATGTGCATAATGTATCAGTACAGCAGTGTGAGCACAGTGTGTATGTTTATAAGTAAATATGCTGAGGGACATGCTCCGGAAGTTTTACTAATGAGGTGAATGAGCACAAAGGTTTGGAGACCACCGCCTACATGGGGATGATTTGGGGTATCTCCAAACATTTTAAAGGATTTCTATACAACAAATATACATTACTTTGTACATTTTATATGTATAAAATGGAAACTATATGCCACCAACACTTTTGAGAGACTAGAAGGGCATTCCATAGGAGTGAACATACTGGGACTGGCCACTTCAGGTGGGACAATCTGGGAGCATGAGAATATAAACTAAGACAAAGATCACATTACTTCAGTGCTTCCTGCACCAGCCACTTGTATATCTGTAGACCATCCTTCCTAAAAATTGCATTTGTTTTTTATTTAAAACCACCTAGAAAACATCCAGTTGCCTGACACACCTGTAATCCAACCAGACCACCAGGTTGCTTGAAGCCCCAGTATGTCATTTCCTCGTCTCCTCCTACTCAGTGAAATTTGACTATGATCAGAGGAAAGACTGGGATCCTCATCTTCCCAACCATCAAGGAATCATCACCCTCATCAGCAGCATTAGAGTTGTCAGACACCCTGTGTGATGCAGATCACTGGGAAAAACATATGTTAACAATAAGCATAATCCCATGAGACTGATTACTTGAAGTAAAATCACTTTGACAAGAGTCACACAAACATGTCACCCCTAATGAAGAAGAAATCCCTCAAAAATCTGAGCGCTATCTTTAGTCTTATTGCTGCAAAAAAAAATTTCTCATGTAATTTGTTAAAGACAATAATACAACGATCTGGACACGGTGTATGTTTTAATAAACCAGATATGGTATCTTTTGGGAGGATAGTAGCAAATCAGATAGACTACTTCCAATTCTGAATAACTACTAGAGGGAAAAGTCCATAGACTGTTTTTTAAGAGGAGGGAGGTAGTAAATATCCACAGCATTTCTCTTCTCTAGCCCTGACTGGGCAATTACATTATTTTCCCTCTGCTATCTGTTTAGCCAACACTACTTAACATGGCAATTCAGAAGCTAAATCCTACTGTTTCTAGAGCCATGGGATAATTTTTAAAAATACAAATAGAAAAGGGGGGGGGGGCGTTAAATGTTACTGGTAAATAAACGTTACTCGATTGCAGAGCCACAAAATAAAAAAAAAAGTTTTAAGATGTTTGCCAACAAGGGCTGTGAAGCAAATTAGTCACAGTAACATTACTTTTTATTGTTTCAAAAATATTTAAAGCTGTAACTACGGACAGCAGCAATTTTAAAATATTCAAAAAGGCCACCAAGTTCATTGCTGAAATACTTCATTGTATGCAGAACACCAAAGTACTGTGCCGATCTTTTGCTCTGTATAACTTGTTTCCCACTGGAATGACAGGGAGCAGTTGGTGCTGACTAGACCACATCCCTAAGTTATTTGCCTTATTGTTGTAATGGTCCTCTTTATTTGTATACAAATTTACAACTCAGTCCTTTTGAAATTAGAGCCTCCTAATTTGTCATGGTCTAGACAGCAATTTCGGATAGCTTTGGTTTGGAAACAAGTTCTCTGCTTCAGCAAGAGCCAGAATGATTGAGGTGGTCACGGTCAGCCCCAAATCAGTGAGTTGTTTTTCTTCAAGTTGTTTTTCAGTATTCTCTGTAACCATCTCTAGGGGCAAGGTCAAGTTATCTTAAAGAATAAGAAATCTTAAATATCTTTAAGATATTCTTTATTTAAAGTCAGGGACTAAAAATCTAAATTTCTGGCGAGGAATTCAAACGACGAAAATCCTGGCACTGGCAAGAGTCCTACAAGCAAGAGGCACCTCCTGCCCTACTCACCAAGGGGATCCTTTTGAATTTGAAAGTTTCACCCAGACCCCTGGAAACAATGGAATAAAAGTCAAGCACTCCTCAATCACAAACAATTGATTCCTAGACCTGTTAAGATGAGCGGCCAGAGTTCCGCATTTAGATTCGGATGTATTTGTCATTGAATATAACTTCCATCAGTTCTTATTTAACTTAAACAGCACTGCATGCAAAGGAAAACAGCCTGGGTCATAGTCAGGAGCAACAAAAATAACTTCACCCTATAAAAAGAAAAATAAGGAAGAAGGAAAAAGGCAAGAAAAGAAAGAAGAAAAAGGTGGTGGAGGAGGAGTTGTTCCCTATTAACAAAAGTCACCATCCTTTTATTGAAAATACACTCAACAACTGTTCTATGAATGAGTGAGTGGATGGATGGATGGATGGATGGATGGATGGATACAGGTAAACCTGCTTGTACAGAACTTTTTCCTACAAGGAAAATCCAGCCTCTTCCCTCCCTCCTCAGCCCCAGGCCAGTCAGTCTGCCCATGCAGAAGTGGTGGGTTTCAGTGTTCAAATGAAGCTCACCGGGCCCTGGACTGATTTTGTCAAATAGATCTAATTCAAAATAAAAGAAAAGAAAAGAAAGACAAATAACAATGGTAACAACAAAATCCTGTCACTTTCAAGATGCCAAATCTGTCAAAACAAAGATATTCCCTCAATTAACATAAACCAGCTCTTCCTTCCTATCGCTGGGAACATAATTGGCGGGGATAATAATAGAGATTACTCTTGCTTGCATATCCTATTTCAATTTATCTCCTCTCTGGATATGTTAAAGACAAGAAAGAATGAACACTAACAACTTTTAAAGACTTTTTAGAAGAAAGCTTCTTCAATTGGGGTTCATGAGCCCCTTAAGGAATCTACCAATTTTTCAAAAGATTTCTGAATCTCCTGAATTTATATGTAAATTGTATATATTTGCATGTGTATTTCTCTGGGAATAGGGTATAGGACAGTCATTAGATTATCAATGAAAACAAACATTTAAAAGCAGGACTTTCTAGCCTGGGGCCCACTTTCTGAGTATACTTTTCCCATGCAGCCTTCAAGGAAGGAAATGATGGGTGTTGTGTTTCTAGACTGAAAAGAGCTGAGCTGTCTTCTTGCAGAACCAATGAAGTTGATTCTAGAGAGGCAGGTATGAGTTAGGCCAGTTAAGAGGAAAGGCAAGTATTTCATGAGAGGGACTGGGTTGGACAGGGGCACAGGGTGGGGCACAGGGTGGGGCACAGGCAGCAAGATGGAGGCAACCTGGCTGCACCTGGGTGGCTTACAGGAAGGAGCTCCAGGAGACGGTGTGAATGAAGAGGTGAGGACACCAGACCCTAAGGAGTGACCCTTATCCTGAGGCACTATGGCACCCCACAAGGGCCAAGACTTTTAACAGAGACTGACCTAGTGTTATAGGTGGACTGGACCAGGGAAGTGGCCAAGAATGTAAAAGAGGCTATTGCAGAAGTCTAGCCGGAAGAGGATGTCCTGAATCAGTGTGCCATGTCTGTGGCGCTCCCTAAGCCCAGTGTGGATCCCGGGGCCAGGCAGAGGGTAGGTGTTCAGTGGATAGTGAGCATATGGGTATGGACGCTCTAAAAGATAAAGAACTCGGATATCCATCCTGGCATCATTCACAGGGCCTGCCAGTGCCTTGCACAGAGTAGATACTGAAAAGGTCTCTAGAACTGGCCTAGACCAGGCTGAACAGACATGGGGGACAAGGGTAGAGGGTTCCCAGCACTCTCGGAAAGGCTGGGATGTGCTAGTCCTAGGAACATCTAGGAGTGATTTCCCAGGGAGCATGTATTTTAAAAGGAAATCAAGTCAAAGTAGCATAATAGCAAGAACCATCTAAGGCAAGGTGAAAAACCTCAGTTCCTGGTTCTGCCCTGCAAATAAATATGCATGTGACATTGAGCCAATAATGACCCGTGGGGTTCCCTTCTAAGGGCTTTCTAGAGCAAATCTATGACCCAGCTATATATTTCTATGATTCGACACTCTATCTCAAATAATCCAAGCAAGAGCCATGAAGCTAATCCTTAACACTTCCTTACTTGAACCGAGCTGTTACACAAAAGCATATCCTAATACCCAGTACACACAGGCAGGGCTCACCTGAGGACTAGACCACTGTTGTGATTCATGTCCCAGTTGTTCTAAGTCTGCGGTCGATCTTCTGGGTAGCCCGTGGCCTTTTTCATCATGTTATAAGAACAAAATGTTAAACTCTCACAATATAGTTTACTGCACAAATTTATATTGCCCTTGTATCTGTTCTGGTGTATGCAAACATACTATTGCTGCTCATTAATCCTGATGAATGGGAGGGCAAAGGGAAGTGAATAGAGAGGCAGAATTTATTTTCACAATGAGAGGTGAAACAGAACAGACGACCTATGGGTCTCCTGTCCAACCAATGGCACCAGTTAGCATCAAAGAGCACACTTCCTGCCCTGGCCAGTTTGGCTCAGCGGTTAGAGCGTCGGCCTGCGGTCCGGAGAGACCCAGGTTCGGTTCCCGCTAAGGGCACGTACTTCGGTTGCAGTTTGTCCCCGGCCCTGGTTGGTCGTGCGGGTGGCAGCCACTCGATGTGTCCCTTCACGTCGATGTTTCTCTCTCTCTCTTCCTTCCTCTCTCTCCCTCCCACTCTATCTGTACAAAAAATGGAAAAATATCCTCGGGTGAGGATAAAAAAATAAATAAAAATTTAAAAAAAGAGCACACTTCCTTAAGTTACTTTCCAGTAAAAAGAAACACAGAAGTTGAACAAGTGAGCCAGATGACCAAAATGTCCCCTAATTTCTTGATGTTAATTTTTCTAATAAGTAACACCTGTTCATCTAATTGGCGAACACTTCAAATCTGGATAGCTTAAAAATGAACCATGTAAAATTAAAGCCCTCCCAATAAAGACTGCATTAGTCATTTCCCAACAGTGATGTTGTCTTGGTCACTTTGTTTCCATAACATATATTGAGAAATAAAATCTGAATATATTCTAGGATTCCAAATCATTTTTACACCTACAAAATGTCAATGACCCAGTCATGAGCTATCAGGTCAGTACCCAAGACTCCTGGTGGCAATGTCCATTCAAGCTCCCGTGGGAGTTACCTGGATAGACTCAACTTGTCACAACTTCACTCTGAACGTTGGCTCTCCATGTACTTGCCCCAAGAACAACACAATAAAAAACATATGTAAATCTACAGACTCATAACTTAATCATTCTTGGAGTGATGATACATCAAACAGTGCTATACAGGAAGCATAAACTGTAGACAAAATTTCAAACACAAGTCTTTCCAGCTGTGGGTGGAGAAAGGGCAACTGAGTCTTTGTGGAGACAGGTCCACAGTCCGCCTGTTCGCTACCATCACATTCTCAGGCCAGGAGCTTCCCTTGTGACACAGAACTACGTCCAGCTCGCCTTGAGACACACTTACTAGAGAAAAAAGAGGCAAACAGTCCTCTCAAATAATACTGGACACAAAAAAATAGGCTTATCCACTCATATCTTTGCCAACATATTCTCATTAGGAATTGAATAGTCCTCTCAAAAATGAATCATTTTAATAAGACACTAACAATGAAGTTATCTGTAGAATAAGAATTTCTGATTTAGGATATTTCAACATTTCTTCCTGCTTTATATTCCCCACACAGTTGCTTAAATGGTAAGCAACCTCAAAAACTCTCCCTCTTTAACTCTCGGTGAATCCTCAGCATTTTAGGATTGTTTTGCAAAGCTATACTCAAAGAGTCTTTTTGAAGTAAAGTACATGAACTTCTCAGAAGAAACTGCTGTCTTTCAAGAAATGCCTTTCACCCCATAATGAATTATCCTTACCCAGCCAGCCAGTTGAAATCAGAAGCAAAGTGGTTTTGTTTGCAGCTGTAAATCTTAACACTGACTCTATTAGCCCAAATCCACCCCAGGATCTTCACCCCAAATTCCACTGGAAAATGTTTTAAGTCAACAAAAACTGTGTCTTCAGAGATGGGTGCCTTGGTAAATACAGTAAATAGAGAGTTCATGGTCTCTAAAGGGACGGTGGGAGTCTGGGAAGGGAATGGGAGATCCTTAAGAAACATTAAAATGTCTCCTCAGCATCGCTGTCCTCTCACTGGGCAATGGCTGAGAACACCGGAGAAGCTGCATTAATAAAGCTGCGTGGAGTCTACACTGCACAAAGTGCTTTGATACTAGTACACGGTCCTCTTCCTCCTTCCCCTTTTCCATGCCTCCTGCCAGGTTTGTTTTCAAAAAGACATCACAAGTTGGCAAGCTTCTGGTTACAGAATTCAATCAAATACTTTCTCCCTCACCTCTATGAAGCTCATCATATTCTGGAGCTTTATTGCCGCCAAATAAATCAAACACAGGTAAGTTAAACTCAGGAATCAGCAAAGGACAACATCCCAGGGTGTGTTCAGGCAATGGAAGAAAGATGTTTCTGCAAATATACATAATTAAAGACCATTTGTAGCTGTTGATGATGTATAAAAATATTTCCAAGGTTCTTTCAACACAAGATTTCAATTCAAGCAAGATCACAAAGAGGAATGATGACGGGGTCCTGACTGCGCCTCAGTGTGTTTCATCTGCTCGGCTTTTTCTCGGGATAGTGGCGGCTGTTGCCTGGGTGTGGAATTCCTCTGCCCTCAAATCTCCAAATGTATGAAGCACAATACAGAATAAGATATTGTGTTTATGCCACACCTCTTCCAAGAGGTTTAAAGCGCCAAATGGGACCCTATGAATCCTCACAACACCCCTGTGAGGTAGGTAGGTGGAGAGTTTTGTTATCCCCACTTTACAGGTGGGGGGATGAGGCACACAGGAATTAAGAGACCTGCCTAAAATCACACAGCTAGTCACTGGCAGAGTGTTTAGAATAAAACTTACACTGATTAGCACTTAGCACAGTGCTTTGCACATAGTAGGTGTTTGCTGAATATCTATGGATTTTATTTGACTTATATCTCAACATACAATATACACACATAAAATACAAGCAGCCACAGAACATCCGTCTCCTACATTTCTTCTGACGACATCTCTCATTACTGCAAACCCTGGTGGATGGAGGATGCCCAGGAATTCGTCTCTCAATGAAGCCCTCATGTTGAAGAGGGTCAACACACAATCTGAGGAAAACCTATTCTTGCACCTGGTCTACCTCAGGATATAAGTTTTCTAATGAAAACAAAGATGGGTTTCAGGAACCATGCTGACATTTTTTTGTGTTTGCATTTTGCCTGTTTGTTTGAAATGGAGCCATCCGAATGGTTCTGTGTCTTGTCTGTACAAAAAGAAATAAGGCTGCTCTAGTCCAGCTTGCTTGCGAGAAGGGTGCCAGGCACAGAGCCCCTCCGGATCGGGGGGATCTCCACCCAGGGAGCCGCCGGGCCAGGCGCCCCCGCCCCGGCAGGAGAGGGCCAGCCAGGCGGTGTCACTTGCACTGTTCGTGGTCCGTGTAGTCATCCATCTCCACGTCAGAATCAAAGAGCGAGTGTCCAGTGAAATCCGTGTCTGGGGTTCTGGAAAAACTGTTCTCTGCTCCCTCATCTTCAAAGGTCTCTGTCCTTGAGTAAAGGCTGAAGTCCAGCAGGGGCGTGTGCGTTTTGCTGCCTTCGCTGCTCTCCTCCGACTCGTAGATGGTGTTGTCGTCGTCATGGTGCCACTCGGGCCAGAATTTCCTCCGGATCCGCTCACAGTACATGGCGAGGTTGATGAGCTCACCTGCAGTGCGGGAGGAACAGGCAGGTTAGTTCCCAGAGCCAACCATCTGCCCGCCACTTGGCTGTCTGGGGTTCTGGAAGGATGGGGTGGGGTCGACATGAAAAATGTTTTCCACCGAGGAACTGTCAGAATATTTAGATTTTCTACTCATAATAAGAAAGGTGAGTGGGAAAAGCTAAATTCAGTGAGAGGCTAGATGAAATTTAGGAGTGAGTCCTTTGGTGATGAGAAATTGGGGGTAGGTCATTTATCCGAAATGGCAGCTAAACGACCATCATTTGGCTTTGTGAAGCATTTTATTATTTTATGTTTGCGTCAACTGGTTCATATTTAAATTAATTTATAGTCCGTGAAAATACACCAACTGTTAATTGGATTAAATCGGCCAGGAGTGATCATTCATTCCACAAATATTTGTAGTGTTGTTATGGGCTGGGTACTATGCCAAGTTAATAAATGTTATGTTAGGATGGAAACTTAGCTCTAAATAATCCATAAAATGCAAAACTCAGAATTGTCTTTATGGATGAGTGTACCCACAATACAGCAGATTTTTTAGTTTTTTTAATTAAATTCCACAGCTGCACCCACAATCGGGTCCCCACTCAATGCCGGGACTACTTCTTTTCCATGTAAATCAAAGGAGCGCTGTGGTTAAGTCACTAAAATCCTCCAGACATTGTCTGAAACACGACACAGTATTTGGCTTTCATCACCTAATTTCAAATGGGGAAGGATGGAAGAGGGTGAGTTTTTGCCTTTACTCCACCAGGTGGCAACATTGCTTATAAAGATGTAATCTGTCTCAGGACTTCATTGCCCTAAAAATATTCTTTGGATGTTTACTTTTTAAAAGTTATATAAACATTCACTTATTGTGTAGGTAGGTAATCCAAGTTTTATTGCAGAAAATTAGACAATATAGATAAGAAAAAAATAACATTTTAATTTACATTCTTTTAGAATTTTATATGGTATTTATGTATACATTTATGCATATTTACATTTGCTGTATAACATTTACTATATATTCTGTTTCCTATCCTACTTTTTCCCCACTTAACATATCATGGAAACCTTTCGATCTCACACTATCAGCACCTTGATAATTGCATAGCATTTCATTATACAGATGTACCATGGTTTCATTTTATTACCAATCCCGTATCACAGGCCATTTAGGTTGTTTCTGTATAAATTGCTCTTTTAATAATAGTCTATAACTACCCTATTTTATTTTCTATGATAAAATAACATATTCCCATTTTATAAAATTATAAGTCTGTATAAAGAAACTATAAATCATAAAGAAGAAAACCCAAAGGGTCTATAATCTCATCCATCCAAGATAACCACAGTTAACATCTTGGTGTCATTTCTTTCAGTACTTTTCCTATTTATTTATTGTCATTATTACTTTGATCTCTCCATAACTTCCTGTAACATGAATGTAAAAGTTGTCACATGTCATTACAATTTTTCACAACTTGATTGTTGTCCTGCTTAAATAAACACCCCACGAAGCACATCTCCCTTCTTCCTGAGCCCTGTAGAACAGTGTTCTCACATTGGTTGCAGGTCACCATTTTCAGTCCTATCAGATCATAATAGCTCAATTCACACCTTGTAAGAGTCCATTCTGACTGCTCCCCACTCGAAGACTTTTATGTACACGCTAAGGAACCAGAAGCAGAAAAGTCGACGTCACTGTCCCTTTGGGGGAGGTGCATGCAAAACCTTCATTTATTTTCTCCCTCAAGGAGGCAGTCGTGACACAGACCTCACCAGGTATTGCTGTCAGTCACACCTACCCAGGAACTGGATAAAGATCCCAGCAGCGAGGAAGTGAGGGGAGACATGGCAAATGAATTTTGGCCACTTCACAGCAGGCCCTGGGGACAGCCCTGTTTGCCTCAATCAAGTGCATTCTCCAGGAGCTGCCAGAAAGTCAGAATCTATTCACAAGGGCCACAGGATCTCCACCACCTCTGAGTCTATCCACTTCTGTTGTGGCTGTTCTTTCTTCAGCCTGTTTCTTTACCTTTCTTCCCCGAGACCTGCCCCCTTCATGACTGTGTGACATTAATACCACTTCACTGTGAAATAATAAAAATTAATAAGAGGAGCAAACATATAGATAGTCCTTCCTGTGTACCAGGCATTGTTTGAAGTGCTTTCTTCATTTCTTGAATTCATATTAACTTCCTTAGTTCTTGCAAAAATCCTGTATGAGGCAGGAAACATTATTATCCCCATCTGTAGCAGGAAAACTGCAACAGAGAGGTTCATTAACTTGACTAAAGTCAAGTTCTAAATAGTGGTAGAGCCAGGATTCAGACACGCGAGCAGTCTCCAGGCTCCGTGTCCTTCACTACAACTCTACTCTGCCTCTCTGCTGGGGAGTTGACAGCCTGGCCTGGAAACTGACAGCTTTGCACCGCCTGTCACAGAATATTTTCCTGTAATTCTGCCTGGGGTCTCAAGGAATTATAAGATGCTGCCCCTAAAGATAATGAGTTGTCATGAAGGAAGTGATTATTCTATCGTGCAGTTAAGAAAGGGTTTGCTCTGTCTGAAAATAAATGGAAAAATATCCTCAGGTGAGGATTTAAAAAAATAAAAAGTAAAAACTGCAGGTTATAATTGTATCAATATCATGATTTCAATTTTTAAAAATATAGACATTCATGTACCTGATAAAAGATGAGGATACAGCCCTGGCTAGTTTGGTTCAGCAGTTAGAGTGTTGGTCAGCGGACCAAAGAGTCATGGGTTCAATTCCGGTCAAGGGCATATACCTCAGCTGCAGTTCAGTCCCCAGTCCTGATTGGGGTCATGCAAAAGGCAACCAATCAATGTGTCCTTCACATAGATTTTTTTTCTCTCTCTCTCTCTTCCTCTCTCCCTCCCTCTCACTCTGAAAATAAATGGGAAAATATCCTCCGGTGAGGATTTAAAAAAAAAAAAGATGAGGATACATACCACAATATTAACAGCATGCCTCTGTGAGTGATGGGGTCACAAGTTGATTTTTTTTTTTTTTACCTTTCTATCTTTTTCAAATTTTCCCCAGTAAGAAAATAATATTTCATATATCTATAGAGATACAGATATATAAACAAATACATAAATACTCTAATTGCTGAATATTCATAGTTTGTCTTTTACTCGCCTAAATTAAGAAACACTTCTCACTAACCTAGATTGTTCCAGAAGTAGCTTGTGTGGCTAGATATTGTAAATAATATCTGGAACCAAAAAGCTAATATTTATACCCACACTCTCACAAACGTGGGTGTTCCAACGCTAAGGCAGAAAATACTGCCTCCTCCAAGCTATTCACGAATGCTCCTGGGTTTGAGCCAGTTCTAAATTACCCAGGGTCCTTGGTTGTTTCTATATCTCCTTTCTCTTGTTACTTCTTGGGAAAGTCTCTAACACAGGAAAATAACAAAAGCAGAGAAAGAAGTTGAGACCAAATTAGTAGTGTGCTTGCATATTAGCAGCTCAGATGCAGAGGTTAGGAAGGGGTCTGAATCTAATGGGATTTAGAGACTTGCTGCACTTTAATAATTCATGCTGCCCAGCCGGTGTGGCTCAGTGGTTGAGCATCCACCCACGCACCAGAGGTCATGAGTTCAATTCCTGGTCAGGACACATGCCCAGGATGTGGGCACCATCCCTAGTGAGGGGCATGCAGGAGGCGGCCAATCAATGTTCTCTCATCGATGTTTCTATCTCTCTCTGGTTCTCCCTTCCTCTCTCCCTAAAAATCAATAAAGAAAAAAAAATTTTTTTAAATAATAATTCATGCTACACCCTTTCCCAGGGAGAGCTGGACACCGCTACATTGTTTTAAGAATCAAAGTACATGCAACTCTGTGCCAGAAGTCCCCTGCAGATGATGGTGTCAGATTCCCCCAAATGTGTGTGTCTCAGGGTGGGACACAAAATCAATCTTCCAAAAAGGCTAATCATTTCTCTAAAAAGAACACTAAATGCCTCACACCCTTCCAGGAAGTAACAGACGAAAGGGCTAGTCATAAATAAATTAACAAAAGATGCTTCGTTTCAGCAAGAAAGAATACTATAGAATCTGAGAGTTGCACTGATGATGGGTTCCTGAATGTTTCTGACTAAATTAGCAGATGACCTCAACAGATGTGCATGCGTGTGTGTGTGTGTGTGCACGCGCGCAAATATGCTTGGCTAGAAGTATAAGTGAGTGTGTATGAGGTGTGTGTGTATAGAAGTATGTAAGTAGGTGTGGGGGCTATTGCTAGGGGGTGTGTAAGGGTGGTATGGCAGAGAAACAGAGGGAGGGAGTAGGAAGTAACAAGAAGAGAGAGTAAATATAAAACATACTCCTAAATAAACTAAAAGGAAACTATATTTTAGACTACCATAAAAAATCTGATTTAAAAAGGAAAAGTAATATTTTAAAAGCTATAAATATCACCAATGTGATAGCATTCAATTTAGATACATCCCAACACAAGGAACACCTCCATGATGATCATTTAGGAAATCAGATATCAATACATACTAGCCCTTGCCCCACTTAGCTGAAGTCCAGAACACCTTTGATCAATGCCTGAACCATTGCTACCAAACCTGGTACTGCATCTGGAACCCCAGCTTCACCACCATGTGGAGAGTGACTCCTGTTACCCAAAACCTGGTCTGAAGTTCTGAGCATGCGCGCGCGCACACACACACACACACACACACACACACAGCTACAGCCCTCACCAGCCGGTCTCCTCGCCAACCCACCCACGATCCCCATCCATGATTACTCGCCCGCCTCATTTTAATGTACAATTCAGCCTTACTATGCACTGGTGATCTCATCTGCACCCTTCACCTGCTCATTTGGGGCATAAACACCTTAATTAACTCTTGTCAATCCCCTTCCCCAAACCTAAACATCGAACCGCCATTCCCACATCCCCAGCCCCCAGGCACTTGTTTAGGGACTGCTTCGAACTGGAGATGACTCTGAACAGTCCCCACCCACCAATGCAGGGGATGCCTCTCCCAGGGACCCCAGCTGCCTTGTTTATCCCACCACCTCACTCCACTACACACAAGCACAAGCACAGCACACACACACACACACACACACAGATCTAGTTCCCTGACATCAACCCTAGTTGAGCTGACTTTCCCTGACCTCTTGCCAACCAACATGAAATGTATTCCTAGCTACCACCCCACCCCCACCCTCACACGGACATTCATCCTTTAGCTCAGGTCCCCTTCATCCCCACTTCTACCCCTCCAGTCTAGAACTGTAATTCTGACAGGTATTATAGTCAAGATCACTCAACAAAGATACAAGATTATGTTTCTTGGGTCAAAATGTACATATAATAATACTAATAATAAAACTTTGCAGAGCACCAGACTTACAAAGCATTTATTGACACTTTCTTTTTTTTTTATCCTCACCCGAGGACATTTTTCCATTTTCCGTTCAGACAGAGTGGGAGAGCGAGAGAGAGAGAAACATCGACGTGAAAGGGACACATCGAGTGGCTGCCACCCACATGACCCAACCAGGGCCGGGGACAAACTGCAACCAAGGTACATGCCCTTAGCGGGAACCGAACCCGGGTCTCTCTGGACCGCAGGCCAACGCTCTAACCGCTGAGGCCAGGGCTTTATTGACACTTTCATTGTTGTCTGTATGATCTACAGACACTCCACTGAAATAGAAAGGAGTGCTGTGAACTCAAATGACACAGAATCATGACCTACATGTGAAATAGCTGAGATCGGATAAGACGGAGGAGCATCTGAGCCGGGCGGTGAGGCCATCAGCCCCACCCACTCTGCTTACTGCAGCAGTGGGCACCCCGTAAAGTGGTGAGCTACCACTGTCCCAAGGAATTAACAATGAGCAACAAAACAAGGGCACTAGGTAGAACTCAAGCCCTGTTTCAACCACAAGCGTTAAGTCACTATGTAAGGAACTGGAAGAAACACCCTGGTGTAGACATGGCAAGACCTGTATCAGCTTTGCCAGAGCACAGCGTGAACAAGATGGCAAGTGAGAACCCAGTGTCTCCTCCACCCGTACATACCCCGAGCACAGAAAACTGACCCTGGCCCTGGATGCCACAGCCTGGTATCTCCATAGAGCACCATCAAGCTCACAGGCATCAGCCTAGAATTCTCCACTGTGTTACCCCTACCCTTCACCCTCCCAGCAACAAAACCTGAAGAGGTTTGCAGTGCTTGCCTTTGATCAGCCGCTCAGGTCTCGTCCCAGGTAAGGTCCACATTGCCTGTGCCAAGTGTCCAAAGACAGTTGCATCGAGAGTGGAAAGCTTGGGCCCCATGATGTACTTCTTATCACCTGCAGCAGACAGAACAGAGAGGTCACTGCTGGCCTGCGCTGCCTGCGTGGTCACAAGGGCATTCAGCACACTTGTATCATATGCTCATCTAACTGTGAATCAAAAGCTTTGCAGACACTTCCCTGAAATAGGAGAAATGTATGCACCCCCTTTTCCTTAAAAAAAGATAGAAATAAAAGTAAAACAAATTAAACAATTCTGTGATACATCAACCTATACAATTGTGAAGCAGGGAAGTAACTGGGAAGATATCAAGAAAAACAAATAAGGAAGGAGGTTCATGGTAAAAAAGGGACAACCGATCACCCACAGATTTCTGAAGGCAACTCTTCATCTCCATCTCGCGTGACTGAAGATTGACAAAACCTGGAAGTTTGCTTAAACCATCTTAACTTGGGTTACTTAAACCAAAGTAACCCAAGCCTAGCACCCCCAAACTCAGCACTTAATTTATTAAACTGATACATTTCCTTGGGAAAAACAAGAAGCCTAAGATGCGTATGCCCCCTTAATTGGCAAGGTTCTCAGCACTGAGCACCAGCTTCCACGGAAACACTACGTAAAGAAAAGCTGTAAGATGACAGGCCCAGCACAGAATCAGGCTCCTGTACAAGGATGTTTCACACAGCTGCTCCCAGCTCTCTTTTTCCACACTACTGACCTTGTTCAGGCCTTGACACCTGGACTATCACATCTAACTATGAAAATTGCCCCCAGTTTGTCTCCTGGGCCACGGTCAGCTGCTGTAGCAAATAGAGGTAGCACAGGTGGAAGCGATCCACCTAGTTCACATCCTGGCATTCACTGTGGGAGCCTGGTCATTACTTAACCTCTCAAAGCCTCAGTTTTCCCATCTGGAAAATGGGGATGATATTAACGGTGCCCATTTCATAGGTCTAATGTGAGGATTAAATGGTGTAATGCATGTAAAGCACATAGCACCATAACTGGGTAACTCAATAAACATTAGCTCTCATGATGATAGTCCCCCTGGGTCTCCAGTCCATCCCGTACCCCTGAACTTAAATCTCTAAGACACTCTTTCATCATATCACACACTTTGACAAATGCTTTTAATGATTTTAAAATGAGTTATGAAATTAAGCCCAAACTTAACTTGGAATTAAAGGCTCATTATACTCTGCCTCCAACCCATGTTCCAGCTCTATCCCTCACTCCTCCCTTTCTTTAGCAAATCCGGGGGACACACACACCCCCATTCCCAGGACACTGTGCTTCTTACTGCTACACCTTTGCTCATGCTACACTTCCTCCTTCCCCTGCCCCCAAAACCTATGTGCTCCTCACTTCTCTCCATATGATAAATCCTATTGCTCCTTCGAGGTCCAGCTCAAGCCTCCTTTCACAGCTTTCTGTGTTAGCTCTATCTGGTGGCATCAGCCTGCAGGGCAGGAGAGGGGTTCCAGCCCAGGGAATGAGCCAGGGCCTGAAAGTGGGGACGCCCACCAGGTGGAAGCCACAAGAGGTTTTAGGGACTGTTGGGAGAAGGGCTACACACTGTCTCACAGAGGAGAAAAGATAGAGGAGCGTGTCTTTCTGATCAAAAGGAAACGACCATCTCAAATTGCTACGACGTCTCAGGGAAACACCAGAGTCAAGTCTGTAAATTGTGAAGTTCGCTGTACAATCCCAGAGGAAAAATGTAAATGTATAGGGGTGAAAAAAACTTTGGAAACCTAACAGTGGAACACCTGGGACCTTGATAAAAAAAAAACAAATAATAAAACATGTAATAATTTGAAACTATACATGAACCACTACATATAGTATTCAGCCCAAATGTGTCACTGGAAGGACACTGCGTTAGTAACAGAACCGGACTAAGAATGCTGGCACCCAGGTCTCAGACGTCCAGCCCAATGCTCTTTGCTCTGCCTGAAATGCCTCAGGTCATCATCTCAGTGGTAAAGACCCCAGGGAACAGCAGGCGGGCTGAGCTTGTTTACAAAAGATGCTTTAGCCAGGAAGGAATACAGAATACAAGGGGAAAGAGAGAAAAGAGAAGTCTCAGGGCTTTTAAAAGGTGCTAGCAAACAAAATTGATGGAACTTATCAGTTGTGGAAATGGTGAAAGGTAGATACAAAATTATATGTGTATACACATGCAACAGTTATAAATTTAAAGAATATAAAAATATCCTGTTACTAAAAAGTCCTTTATGTACCAAATGGCAGGAAGCTTTCTTTAAACATTCTATTTTGAAATAACTTTAGACTCACAGAAAAGTTATAAAAATAGCAGAGTTGCTGTACACTTTTCAACCAGCTTCTGGTAATATTAACATCTTATATAACCACAGTACATCTATCAAAACTAAGAAATTAACATTAATACAACACTATTAACTGTGCTGCAGACTTCATTCAAATTTTATTAATTTTTCAACTCATGTTCTTTTCTATTCCGGGATCCAATCCAGGACCTCACGGTGCATTTACTCATCACGCCTCCTTTCTCCTCAACCGGTGAAATCGCTCCATCTTGTCTTTCATAACCTGGACACTCATGGAATACTGGCCAGTCATTTTGTAAAATGTTTGTCAATCTGGGTTTGTCTGAGGTTTTTGTGATTAGATTAGGTCATGCATTTTGGGTGAGAATACCACCGAGGTAATTCTGTACCCTTCTGTGGTGGTTAATTTTTCTGTCAACTTGACTAAGCCATGGAGTGCTAAGTCAAATACTATCCTGGGTGCTTTTGTGAAGGTGTCCTTGGATGAGATGAACATTTAAGTGGTAGACTGATACAGCAGCTTTCCCTCTCTAATGTGGGTGCACCTCACCTGATTAGTTGAAGGCCTGAATAGAACAGAAAGGCTGACTCTCTTCCAAGTAAGAAAGAATCCCTCCTGCCTGACTGCTTTCCAGCTGCAACATGGGCTTGTTCCTGCCTTCAAATTCCAATGGAAACGCTGGTTCTTCCTGGGTCTGAGCCTGCTGGCTTTCAGACTCAAGCTCGACCATCAGCTATCTGGTGTCCCAGCTTGCAACTCACCCTGCAGATCTTTGGACATGTCAGCCTCCATAACTGCATGAGCCAATTCCTTACACTAAATCTTCATACTAAAAAAAAAACTTTTTGTCATATATCCTGTTGGTCTGTTTCTCTGGGGAACCCTGATTAATACACCTTCTTGGGGCATCAAATCAGAAGAGGGCCCATAATGTCTGTGTCTTATCACTGGAAATGTTAACCTTGACCATGTGTTAAAGGTAGTCTGTGAGGTTTCTTTACTATAATGGTACTATTTTTCCTTTTGCAATGAATAATATTAGGAGAGATATTGTTGAGACTATAAATATCCTGTTTCTCCACAAACTTTGGCCCTTTGATTTCAGCATCCATTGGTGGGTATTACCTGAAACAATCACCACTGTGGTATTTGCCTAATCAAGATCTTTTATTTATCTCATTCCTTCCACATGTATTGATTAGAAGTCTACTGTTCACTTCATCCATTTACTAATGCATTCAATTATTTATTTATATAAGTATGCACTTACCAATAATTACTTTATTCTATGGCTTATAATCCAGTACACTCATTATTCATTTTGTTTCTCAAATTGTTCCAGCTTTGACCTTCTGGTCCTTGGAGGGAAGTGTTTCTAAGAGGGAACCTGAATTCAGATCTGACTGCTTAGAGAGAGACAAACCAAGCTAAAGCCTCAAGTCTGAGCACTACCAGGTTTTACCAAGAGATCACAGATCTCACAACCAGAGGGTTTTAGCAAAAACAAAGCACTAAGGGCACTTCTGAAGGGCACTGAAGGAGCAGGCTGGGTGATGAGGCAACTCAAGCTTCATTTTCAGAGCGGAACCACACCACTGGCTCCTGTGGGGATGGACAAAAGCAGCTGAGCAAGTCTGGGTGCTTACAGCTCCCTGCCAGGTTGGAAGTATAGGCTAGAACCCCTGGTGAGGGCAAATGAAGGTTGAATTTATCAGAATCCCTAGGAGATGAGAGACATAGGATACAGCAGACTCCCTGAGGGATGCTCCACCAGAGGCCAGCTTCCAAGCACCCAGGCTGTGTCCCTGAGTGTGCAGAGCCCTCCTGACTGTGAGCGTGAGCCCACGTCACAAGAGGGTATGGAGCATATCCAGCAAATGAAGGCAGGGTGACCTCAAGTGCCCAGAGTGATTTCACAGAGCTCCATGGCTGGGTCTTCAAGTAGCCATTAAGAAGCAGAGACTAGTGAGGAAGTGCAAGGACAGTGATCAAGCAGCCAGAGGGGAGGGGCCGGGGAGATCTGGAGAAGTAGAGCCCAAGGCAAGAGTTGGCTTCACTGAGGGCTGGGAAATAACAGCTGGTCCTGGGTGTTTCTAGAATCTGATCCTACATCTTTTTGGTGGTTTGGGCAGCTCCTTTCCATGAGAAAGGCTATGCTGGAGATGCAAGAACCATTGGGGTATCCGAGGATAATCAAAAACGGAATGGGGAAGTACGAAGTCAAGAACAAAAAGAATATTCTGAGGCCCTGGAGGTTATATACTCTTTATACCCCAGATCTGAGCTTACTGTGATTGGATTTTATCATAGATCATTGGTCAACACCTTAAATAACCCATTAACCTATGGTTGCTTATCCTGACCTCCAAGCCTGGCCTCTTGCCCTTCCCACATCGTCTTCCACATCTATCATGAGCCACAACACAGGACTGACCAGGAGACACCAGGATGCAACACCAGGCGGCAGTATGTGGAAGACGAATGAGCGTGTCGCCTGGGACCCTCACCCCTCTTACCCGCCCCTCATCCTCATTAGCACTGACTGAGGTGGTGGCTGGGAGATGGGAGGCAGGGAAGAATGCAGAGGGCAACGCCACACAGTTGTCCAGAGAGAACTAAACCTATATGGAATCTGAGGTGAGTGACCAGAATCCAAGCCCACCTGAGAAAACAAGGAAGCTGCAGAGTTAATACACACTGGGTTTGGTAAACAGAAAAGAAGAGGAGAAAATCAGAGAAGAAA